CAAAATAGAATTAACTATTAATTATTCGTTCTCTATTCTGTTATCTTATACTAAACTAATAGTGAGTAAGTGTTGAAATTTATTCATATATATAAAAATAATCATTATATTTTATTGTCAACAAAATAGGATTAACTATTAATTATTCGTTCTCTATTCTGTTATCTATAAATGTCGACGATTCTCATTATTTCATATTCATCCCTATCAATGAAGCGTCTAAAAGAGCTCCAATAAAATATCAAATCAATTTACCCGTTGCTCAGACAATCATCGCCAACAAAGCTATACTATCTAGATATTTTGTTCAACGACTTCTTTTACATTTTGGAAAATTGGATAATGATCTTGTTACGTTAAAAATGGAATACAACAGCAATTCTGGGCGTGTGAATATTACTTTAATTCAAAACCTTAAAAAAAGGATAAGACCACCTTGGGCCAGCGACTTGGAAATGTCAGTTTTTTCAGATATAGTAAAGATGGTTGCGGAACAATTTGGTGAAATGCAACTTTCTTTGAAGGGAAATGATATGGAATTGTTTCACTTTTTAACTGCAGGACCCCATGCGTAAGTGTTGAATTTTATTCATATATATATAAATAATCATTATATTTTATTGTCAACAAAATATAATTAACTATTAATGATTTATTCTCTATTCTGTTATCTTATACTAAACTAATAGATGGTAAGTGTTGAATTTTATTCATACATATAAATCATAATTATATTTTATTGTCAACAAAATAGAATTATCTATTAATTATTCATTTTCTATTCTGTTATCTGTTATTCACCTTATGGAAAACCAGTGAAGCACCTAAAAAATTAAGAGATTTTGACATTAGTAAATTTAAAGAAAATATTATACCTTTGGATGACATTATTATCTGTGTCGTTCGAAAACTTGAGCTAGAAAACGAATCTATCAAGAAATTAAATTTAACCAAGAATGAAAAAAATTTTGATCAAAAACTTACCAAGGAAGAAGGAATTAGACTATTAATTGAAATTATGCTTGACAGACTAGCATGTCCAATCACAAAAAAACTGACCGGTGACTTCTTTGTTTTGATATGTGGACATTCTATTGGTCATCAGTTCAAGAATAAATGTCCATTTTGCAAAGTTAATATTGAATCAGAATCTGTATATTACCTTTCTCGAAACGCAATACTTAAAGGGCTTGATGAATTTCTAGCAAAAGTTTATTCTGAAGAAACTAATTCTTTGAATTCTTTAAAGTTAACTACTGAACAAGAAACTAATTCTTTGAATTCATTAAAGTTAATTACTGAACAAGAAACTCATTCTAAAGCGATGTTATTTGCATTTGAAAAAGCTGAAATAGCCGGAAAAAAACATGAACATTCTATAGTAATCATGTGGCTTACTCGTGTTTTGTATTTTTATCCCAAAAGTTATTCAATTCAATGTAGGAGAGCTAGTGCATTCATTAATCTCAATATGCATTTAAAAGCTATAAATGATTTGACAACAGCAATTAAATTGAAACCATCAAAATCTCTCGCATATATATATAGGAGCAAGATATATATATTTCACAAAAATTTTGATAATGCATTACATGATATGGATGAAGCTCTCAGAATTGAACCAAACAACGAACACGCACGTTTAGAAAAAGAAAGAATATGTGAATATAAAGGACAAACAGGAAATATTGATAGACCAATTAACAATTTTATGCAACTTGGTTTATCAGATGAAATTTTGATAAATATTTTTAAGTTTGTAAGATTTCCGTTAAATTTGATTTTAACTTGCAAGAGTTGGTATAATATTTCTAGTGATCATATGGTGAGGGCTGAATGGATTGTTTACCAATACGGTCGCGCTCATGCACTATTTTATGCAATTAGATTAGGCTCAAATTTTATTAACTCATCTGTTGCTAAGGCAATAGTTACCAATGGGGCAATAATCTCTAGCTATTTTATTAAAAGGTTATTATTACATTTTGGAAAATTTGATCAACAACTTGAAACATTGAAAATGGAACATAATGTAAATAATCAAAATATTACCAATGTACGAACTATTCAACAACAAAATTCAAAAACACCATGGGCAAGTGATTTAAATATTTCGGTTTTTATTTACCTTTTACAAGAGGCAGATAAACAATTCGCACAAATTGAACTTTCTAAAAAGGGAAATGACATGGAATTGTTTCATTTCTTGTCAGCGGGGCCGCATGTAATTAATGATGCTAGAGCGATCTTAGATAAAAATAAAGCACTCATTGAAGATTTGATCTTGAAACTAAAGTTTATTCCATTTCCTCCTCGACCAAAACATCTACATGCAAAAGATGGCTTTGAAAATAATAGGCAGTTAAACATTATTGCTAGAGCAATAGATGTTGGTTACCATGGAATCTGTAGAGATGACATAGAAAATACTATTAGCAGGTTAACTAATAAGGATACCATTGAACAAGCTAAAAAACTATTTTCCATTGGGTTACGCTGTCTAAACAAAATTGGACTTGAAAAAGATGAAAAGCAAGCATTCAAATATTTCATGAGAGCTGCAGGTTTGGAACATACTGATGGAACTTATATGGTTGGATATTGTTACCAACATGGAGCTGGTGTTATCAGAAATGAACGTAAAGCGTTTGAATATTATCTAAAAGCTTCTGAGTTAGGTCATGCTAAGGGTGCATTTAACGTTGGTTACTGTTATAGACATGGAATTGGTGTAGAAAAAGATGAAGTCAAAGCTTTAGAATATTATAAAAAAATGAGGGGTAAATTATTGAAAATCCCCTACAATAAATTTAAAAACATTAAAAAGATAGGCCAAGGTGGATTTTCAGTTGTATATCAAGCAACATGGGAGAATCAAAATGTCGCCCTCAAATCATTCTCAAAAAAAAATGAAGATTTCATGAATGAGGTAAATATTAATCTATTGTTTGTTTTTTACCCATATTAATTGGTATTAACTATTAATTTTCGCTAATTAGTTAATAGCTTATTACATTTCAAATGTTAATTTGAAATGCTATGGAATATCCAAAGACGATTCAGGAAATGACATTCTTGTCTTAAAGCTTGCTGAAATGGGTTCTTTAAGTAAAAATATTTCTGCTGTATCAAAAATGAGATGGGGAAAAAAACTGAAATTGTTACATGGTATTACTTCTGATCTCGAAGCACTTCATTATGAAAATTTTATTCATCGTGACTTGCATAGTGGCAACATACTACAAGACAATCTTGATAATGCGTATATCGCGGATTTAGGATTTTCAACTTCATCTGACAAGCTTGAGAATGATGTTTATGGAGTCATGCCGTACGTTGCACCCGAAATTTTACGAGGGAAACCATACACACAAGCATCAGATATATACAGTCTCGGTGTTATAATGACGGAAATATCAACTGGACAAAGAGCGTTCGATGGATATGACTTTGATTCTGCCCTTGCATATAAGGTTTACAATGGATTGCGACCCGAATTTGCTCCGGGAACACCTAAATGTTACATAGAATTAGCCAAACTATGCATGGATTCGGATCCACAGAAACGACCAAAAGCTAATGAAATTAATTTCGAAATTAAAAATTGGATGAATCAAATAAATTCACAAGACAATAATGAAATTAAAATGCAATTCTTAAATTCTGATTTATTAAATAAGTTATCTCCTATTGTTACTACACTAAATCATTCTAATGAAACATATGCTAGTAATTTCATTAATTCAAACCAAATATCAAATACAATTATTGGTTCTAAATTAATTAATTTTGAAATTCCTAATAATGTATAATTTTTATGTAAGAGTTTTAAAAAAACCTCCAGTGTTCTCTATCAAAACGCAATATCGAACATAAATATTTATTGACACAACAACCCGAAGCTTTGCCACAAAAAAATTTATACCTAGGTTATAATTCCGGGCATAACTCCAGGCAAAATCAAATTTTATTTTCAAGTAAAATTAAGTGTAATTCCGGGCAAAATTAGGCATAACTTAAGGCAAAATCAAAAAAAAATATTTTTAAGCAAAATTAAGTATAATTCCGGACAAAATTAGGCATAGTTTAAGGCAAAATCAAACTTTAGGCATGTGTATTATTAAGCTGTCTTTATGAGTTATTTATTAATGATTTATTTTAAATGATTTATTTTAAATGATAGTAAAGTGACTTAAAATCTCTTTACTGAGATGAATATGGAATCTGATCTCCTTTGGTGAAATCCTAAGAAATGTGGTTTCAATATTAATGATATTTTCTAAAAAATCTTTTGATAAACACACATATTTCCTAGATAAATTTGTATCTGAACGATAAATAGCATCCAAAAATGTACGTATTAGCGATAAATTAACTCAGACTAATTTGGCCCAATTTATGCTCTAATTTAACTTATATACTTTAAATCTGCCTAAAATTTTATTCTAATTCATGCTCTAATTCCGCCCAAGTTCACCCTGGACCCAAACTAGAATTATTATAAATTTCTTTTTTAATTGGCATGTTATAATAGAACTTGTATACCTCCATTTTTTTAATACTATTATTGCAAAACCTATAAGACCAAGTTCTGAAGCTTCTTTCTTCGGTTTTTTTCTTTTTTGAAATTTATTTTAGCTTTATTAAATTTTTCGAAAACTTCGTCAATTCGTTTTGACATTGTTAGAATATAGTGTTAAAAAATTAGTTGATGATGGCGATTTTTTGAGCTACGCATACAAATTCATCGTCTCTTAGTGGTGGCATTAACGTGCTTCCATTATTTTCCGAGGAATTTATTTTGTTAATGCTAATAAATAAAAGGTTATATTTGGTCCTCCTCTTCAATTTGCTTAAATAATTTAAAGTAATGAAAATTTCCTTAGGCATATTGAAAAATAAAAAAAATTATAATACAAAATTAAATTAAAAAAAATTCATCTAGGCTCATGCGTCGATAGCACAATGGTACGAATTCACGCGTTATGTGACACGATTTATTACTTTCGAAAAGTCGATTTGCTAAATGTAAAAATATTATTCAACTTAAGGCTGTTATGCGTCAAACTAAAATTTGTGTCAAATCAAAAGTATCTATTTTTGATGAATCTTATGGGTTGATTCACGTGACCTTATCTCTGCCTCAACGTTGGCAGAGATAGGGTCTCGTGGCCAGCATTTCTTTATAATGCCGGTCAAACAATCTCACCGTGATATGGGCTGCTGTCAATGGAAATCAAGCAGATTGATGTTTAAAAAAAAGTCCAAACAACGCGAAGGGCCAAACAAAGAAAAAAAGGAGTCATTAATACGCTCACTTAAAATTAGAGTATATCAGAACAAAGCACAAACGGGTTTATTAAAACAATAAACTTTAAATTTTCCACTGGTTCACAAAATATTAAAACACACAACACCAATTTATTCAATATCAAAAAATTTACGGATAAATTATTCACATTTTCAAAAGGGAATCAACAAATATTACGTAATATTTTTTACTTTTCTCTCTCTCTCACTTGAATTAGAGATGTGAACCGTTATTCATTGGATATCAAATAATAGTAAAACCGGTGGATATCCACTTGATTTACTGGTAAAACCGGTGGATATCCACTTGATTTACTGTTATTTGGATATTCAACATCTTCAACTTGAATGACAATTTAGAGATGTAATCCATTAGCTAGCTTAGAGATGTGATCCATTAGAATGTAGCGCTGTTTTTCCAGAATGTGCTACTGGCCGCTTTGGCTTTTTCTTGTTAGTATAATTTTTCTTATCTGACATCTTCTACAAAGATGAAAACACTAGCATACCATTTTTAGCAACTTCAAATAAACTGCCTCGTTTTACTGACTGTCAGAAAAGAATGTCCCCAATTAGAGTGGCCATTGCATAAATCTGCTCGCTTTAACCATATTTTTTTGTATTGTATTTGGTTTTTAAAAAATAAACTATTATTAAAGTTTCGCATTTTAAATTATATTTAGTGATGGTTTCAATTTAATTTCAGATTTAATTTAAATCAATTGAAAATATTAAGTATGGATATTGTATAAATTAACTAAATTCAATTACATATCTAGTTAATGTTTTCAGAAATAAATCAGTTTTGTTTTATCATCATGCTTGTTCTTGTTTTTGTAAATCTTTATGAATCAAACTAATATTGTATTTTTTATAAGCTAATTAATCACTTAGTTGTTTTTTAGTTGTTCTTGCTCTTGTTAGTTTTATAAATTAATTTGTTTGGGCACAGAGATACATTGTGTGGGCATGTGAGACACATGACACTGCAAGTATCTCTGCGTCGGTGGACGCAGAGATAGTGTCATGTGATATTAATGTTAACATTAAGTCATAATTTTCCCGATAAATGTAGTTTGATTAGAGATATGAACCGTTACTTAATACCTGACGTATTAAAATTTACTTAAATTCAAATGGGTTGGAATCGGTTTAGAACGCTATTATACAGATTTTTTAATCAACTAAACAGTTCCAATCCCTAAATTCAAATTAAAATAATAATAAGTTCTTAACGAATAAGTGTTATTTACACTGATTTACTTGAGGTAAGAGATACAATATGCTTCATTTTAAAATAATTACAATAATTATACTTATTATATTGTTTATACTGTATGAAAGAATGTTTGCTATATAACTGATAATCCAGAAATATTTTCGTTGTTTGAAAAAATGTAATTCTAATAAGCACACAACAAATCACAAGTATAATATTGTTTGCAGTAAACTAATTTAAAATACAAAATCATTATTTAGAATACAAGATCATTATTTCTAATTCTTAGAAATAAAATACAAAATGTGTTAATGTTATTAATAAATTATCATTGCCGTATGATCATATGATTTCACGGTCCCATGGGACCGCAAATCGTATGATTATTTGACTAGCTTCAGTGTCGTCCAAAAAATTCTTTGGGAACTGGTCGTGTTTTTTGCTTCAGTTTATCATTAGACATTTCTTCGCTCCTTATTATCGTAAATATTTAAAATTGATTTGATTCTTTCTATTACAAACTCTAGGATTTTATTAGTTGGAAGCATTCTCATCTTTAGTTCGTATTCGTTATAATGATAAATATGCACCTCTAATATTATCCCTTAAACTGTCAATTTAACTACGTGTCTACTACGATTTAGACTAATTTCACCAGCATCTTTATACGTGACTAAGCTCTAGCTATTTGGTTAACGTATCTATTTATTCTCTAAATTCATTTATTAGTTTAAATAAGCTTATTTATATAAAGCTTTTTTGTAGTATTAAATCAATGAATTGTTTCATCAATTGATTGGTGTGATCTTAAATAACAATTTAACGAGACAACGATAAGAATTATCTCTGCCTTGAAATTGGCAGAGATTAAGTCATGTGATTATATTTGTTTGTTTTAGATTAAACTATTTAATTTTAATGCGGATAGATTATTTTAATAATATCTCAATAATATAACTCTTTGTTGCTATTTTTTTCGATACTTTTCAGGTTCACTATGCTGCTATTCATCTCTTTTTCTTTTTTTCAATGAGCCTGTCTCGACATTCACTCTGTTTCTCTTTTTTCCTACTTGTTTTTTTTCACTTGCATCGTCCAATTTACTTTTATTTTTTAATTTATTTTTTGATAATGTTATTTTTTCGATTTCTGATAATTCCATGTCAACAAGTTTAACCCACTCATCGCAGGTACCTTCAATTTGATAATCAATGATTCCATTCCATCCTTTAGTAACTACATCCGTAGCATTCACCAATATCACGAAACCCCCACGTCCATGAATAGCTCTAGCAAAGTTTTTTATAAGCGCTTTGTAATTCGCAGAAAAATTCTTATTAGTGGTTAGCCAGTTGAGAATAACTACTTTATAAAAAGGTATAATGGTGGGGTACTATCAAATTAAGGGCAATATTCAATTATCAATTATCTAATTTTCATATACTGTCATTTTTGATTTTGTACATCTTAAACTCATTTCATTAAAAAAGTTAGCTTATCTTAAGCTCAGTTCATTCTCCGACGGCATCAAGATGCCGTCGGAGGATGAAATTTGGTAATAAATACAAAAATTAATAATTGTCATTGTAGTAAAAACATTGTAAAAGCAAAAGCTGTTCCCGTTGTAAGGACAATATTACCCTTTGTACTTTTAAATATGATTGTGTTTACCAAAATACATGCAAAGTCATTGAGTTTGTTATTCTAAATATTTTAAATCAATTTGAATATAATAATATCGATGTAAAATTAAATACAACATAAAAAAAATAATAATTAATTTTTAATTTATTATCATACCGATTAAAATAAGTTATTTTGTCAATTTTTAATTGACGGAAATTTGAAAGTGACGTCTTAACATATATATGATAAAATCAACCCTACTATAAATATATTTTTATTGAATATTAATGCTTGAATTATTTTTCTGCTGCAATATGGAAAAGCTGGTTGTAATTTTTAAATTAGGTAAAATTGAGATTTTTTATGCAAAATTTTGTTTCACGACATACTGAAATCTATTTAATTTTTTTTTTGAAATCAAATTCATAACATCACTTACAATTTCTGCACTACTTTTAGTTGGATAATTTTCTGGTTCATTATTTTTGATATTAAGATGCGTATTATTCTTTAACATGGCCAACACTGTTATTTAATGCAAGCAAAGATTATTAAAAAGATGGCTCAAATTGTATTTTTATAAATACTGTACTGCAGAATTTGTCTAAATGTTATTAAATAATTGTGATGTAGGCCAGACAATCCTTACTTGATATTGCACATGATAATGTTCAATTGAACACTAGCGATTCTTTTAATAATTTCATAATGATTAGAACAACTATTTATATAACAGTATACAATCTGCTAATTTAAGTTGTTAACTACTAAATGCATTGACTCAATATTCTCAAAATTTGAATCATCTATCTACATAAAAAAAGGAAAAAAAAAACTATAATAGCATCGTATTATCGCTTCTTAATACCCTTTGGTGTTCCTATTGTTACAAACATCTGCTTAATACCATAAACGGTACCCTTATTTGGCTTTTTGGAATGTCTAGACTTGTATCGATAAAATAGCACCCTAACTGTTTTAATAACAGCAGTCTTAAAATATTGCAAATTGTTATATAAATCAAATATTCAAATGTGCTAAATCAAGTAAAAATAAAAGAATAGCAAACATACCCGCAGTTCTAACAGTAATTGCATCAGTTCATAAACTTGCTCAGGCTTGCTTTGAAACAGCGGAATCTCAACTTCACGCATCTTAATAAAACGATAATATCCTTCTTTGGTTTTGGAAAAAACATGAATTGATAAATACCGCCCTAATAGAAAATAATAAATAAGAAATTTTGTATAAAGAAAAAATTAAGCTTCCTATCACTTGCCTTTAATGTTAAGACAAAAGATCTTTGTCAATTCATCATATCCATATTTTTTTACACTTCCATTGATGGAAAAATCCTCAAAGGCATCTTTAGCGCTACGCGCCAATTTATTATGATCAGACAATTGTTTCTTCCAATCCGATTCTGGTCGTCCTGTTTCCATATTAACTAATTCAAGTTCTTTGTCGCCAATTTTCACGCGTAACATGAAATCTGGCTTATTTCCATGTAACTGTTTACGAGCCTTACTCGAAGGACTCTCAACTTCTCCCCTAATTAAAGATGTGAGAATTAAGAACTAAAAAGTATAGGATATAAAAAAGAAAATATTACCAATTTGTTTTATGCATTACGGGAACTGGTAATTCTGCAAAGGTAGCAGTTAACAAAGGTGCTAATACCTCTGCAACGTACGTGCCTTCGTTAACTTGATCTAGTGCACTTGCCATCATAGCATAATGCTGTGTTCTCCATACATTTTCTCTGCAAACGAAAATAAAAAGTTAAATAAAGATTTTTACCACGAATTATAAAATATATATCATACAAAGCATTTGATATTCTTCTTGAGAATTTTATTATATCCTTTCTCTCATCAAACAAGTTTCCATATTCCACTTTATTTTCAAATCGTTTTTTCTTTTGCTTTTTCCATGATTGATGGCTCTTTACTAAACTTTCAGAAGCCTGTCTTAAATCAGAATTGCTATCAAGTTTTATTTCTAAATTGCCCATCTATTTATAAATAGTTATTCTTAATTTAATTGTAATAACAATTTCCGCAGTTATTAAATACCCGAAATTCTTCTTGACAATCTTGTGGCAGCTTTTTGACTAATTCGGATTCATCACAAATAATGCCACTTGCTAATGGATTATCATATGTCAAATCATCAGCACTCATATTACTTAATTCTTTGAGTAGTTGGGAACAGAGACGTGAGCGAGCACTTCGTTTAAATACATCTTTTGATTCTATATATTGTTTCTTAATAAAAGAAAATTTTAACTTAAAACTAAAACTAGAACACAATTACACAATTATAATATTCATGTTTCTTACCAAGACAGTTTTCAGCTTACTAATGTTTTCATTAGCATCTTTTTTCCATTCGGCGATTTCCACTGGCTGAACAAATTTTGGATTTAATTTTATTCAGTATTAATTATTAATATAAGTATAAAAAATTTACTGTTATCAACGCGCCCGCCTCTATCAGTGCTTCAAGAGCTTTAAATTGCACCGCAGCCTTTTATTAAGGTATTAAGGTTAGTTAAATGATTTCAAAAGTTTATTTGAAAAAAGCTCTAGACTAAATTTCTGTATTCCCATTGGTAGCATAATAAATTTGCTTTTCCTTTATCACAATGAACGTCTTCACAGGCAAAAGTCTGTTACTGTTATATAGTATGATATAATTTTAACCCTATTGTGACATATCACTACGAACATCTTCGCAGTAAAACTGTTACTGTAACGTATGTTTGGTATATTTTTGCAATATCACAAACTGTGAATGTCTTGAGGGCTAAAAAAAAGGACCTTTTGACTAATGACATTATGCTTATGAGCAAGATTTTCATCACATTCTCATTAACTTTAGCATATAAGACATCCAGATATTACTTAACTTTGGTATCTTCAAGAGACTTTAGTTTTTCGATACGTATTTTTTCATTTTTTAGAGACAAGTTTTGAAGTATCTTTTCTTTTGTTTTGATAAATACTTCAACCTCCTCGTCTTCGTTACCAGTCCATTCATTAGTCTTTATTCTTGTGTACATTGCAGTGATAATTGTTATTTTATCCGGTTTTTCTGTTAGTAAAAATTTTTCCATTTCGAAAGGTCAGAGATTAAAAAAATGGGATTGTTTACATGTATATTACGTGTCAAAAGATGATCTACAAAAATTAGCCAATCAGAATGAAAGCCCCGTGCAGCAGGGGTGAACGTTTAATGTTACACAATGTTAATGTGTTATCGTTATCACATGTTGAATAGGTTAAATAGCCATAAGAAATACGTATCAAAGTGAAACCAAAAAAAAACTATCAAATTAAAAGTTCGAATAAATGGCTCTTATTTTAACACAAGAAAAGTCACATCAATAATATTCTATTATTTCAAACTCATTTCATTCTCCTACGGCATCAAGATGCCGTTGGAGAATAAGCTGTAATGAATTAAATTATTTTAGGTAGGTTAGTCATGGCGAAAAAAATGCCACGGTCTCGTGATCACCGACCATAAAATACTTTGATTGCTTCTGTGATTTCTATTGCGAAATCTATTTTATTTGACATTTTGGGAGGCATTTTGAAATTCATCTGAAGTGAAAATTGGTTATTCGGTTAAAAAAAAGCTAAATATCATTAATCCTTAGGTGATATGTGTCAAAATTTTATTATATAAGAAACTGTATTACAAGATTATCTACAAAATAATTCTTTTAGGTTATATAAATATAATATTAGTTCTTGTTAGGATTGGAACCGCCTAAAATTTTTCTTAATCGTTTAATCGTTAATTTGGCCGGCATTAAAATAATTCCGGCCCACGACCAACATAATTCTGCCCCAGAACTATGACCAATTTTTAAACGGTTAAACGGTTCCAATTACTGTTCTTGTTAACTTAAAAGCTTGAAACAAAGTTATACATATGGATTAAGTTAGTATAAATGCCCCATATTTGTTCTAAGTAAAATTTTTTGTCAAAACTTTAAACAGTATCTCTGCGTCTACCGACGCAGAGATAGTATCATGTGATGTTAAAGTTATGTTAAATAAGATAAGTTAGATGAATTTGTGATTAGTATTTTTGCATCATGTATTTGAAATTTAACATAATTTATCAAACATTTACAATTAAAAGAGAATTAAAAATAATACTACAATAAGTTATAAAAAAGAGGAATACGAGTAGTTAAGTTAGAAATTGAAGTGCTAAAGCAAGACAGCTTTAAGATTAATTTCGATGTAAGTTAAAATTTAATTTCCCGGCGCTAATATCATATGACGTGTTCAAAAGTCATGCATCACATAATCACGTAATTTTATTTAAAAAAAAGGGTTATTTAATATTCTGAAAATGAAAATTTAAATATACGCTATACAAGTAAACTTTGCAAGAAATAGATAGAATAACTTCTACGTAATAACAAATTAAAATAGATTTGGCGCCTGTGTTTTAGTATAATATAATAATGGTAACGGAAGCATCTTCGTGACAAAATACAATGGTAGAATTGACTTCGTAGAATATAAATATTGTTATCAATTGTACGTATTTGTTGTTCAAGAAGGCGAATTTCTCTAGCATTTAGGTCAACAGTATTAGATGGGCACTAAGTGTATTTATTAAACTAAACTAATTTAAATTTATAATACCTTATTTGTGCTTGAGTTTCTTCAAAAATTCTGAGAGACAGACGAATGGCAGGCATTATACAGAAGTGGATTTGTCGCGATAATATCTAACGTGTAAGCAGCTCTTAAAAGAATTTTAAGGTTTCTTTTATGTCTTTTTTTTTCACTAATAAGCAATTTTTTTGCATTAGCACAGCCTTTTATCATTACAAGTTGATTTGTTTTTAATAAATATGAATTTTTTAAACTATATCCTTCAAACTTGTTTCTTAGTCTATTTTAAGAATTCGAGTTTCAAAGGCTTTTAACGCGTATGATTTCTAGAGTTTCTTGTATTTACTGATATTATTCAAAATCAATTCTTAATAGCAAAATATCACATAACATTAAGATACAGAGCATCATATAAAACTAGTGATGCATTCGAAAGGTCATTAATTCGATTCGCGCACGCGATTGGTCCATTCATAAGCAATTCAGTATGGATTTTTATTAATCTGATTGAATACAAATAATTATCATCCTGTTCACATTTAGAATATATTTTATTAAGTTTATAACTTAAGAATTTACAAATTTAATAAAAATAAAAACTTTATAAATCTGTTTTCCACCAGTCATTATTCCAATGCCTGGAATCACTATATGGATAAGTTTTGGGACATTGTTTTCCCTCATCATGATAAACAACTCTACATCTTTTCGAACAATTTAAACACTTGAACTTTTCTTTCCATTCTTGGCTCGTGACTTCAGGTAATTTTGGCTCATGACTCATGATTTTAGGTAATTTCGGCGCATCCCAACAATGATTCGTATTATGATTAGTTTTTTGACACCATCTGCACCACTTATAATTTTTATATTCAACATCATCCCAATTCCAATCAGTTATAGAACCACAATAACAATATTTCTTGTTTACTGAACACCAATTACACTTGCTTGCTTCCTTTCCCCACGGGATAGGGGGATTTGTCGGTTTGGGACCCCATCCTTCTTCCTTTTGATCTGTAAAACAATTATTAGCCAATATTCATAAACACTATGCGAAATTATTTGAATGTACTCACAACACATTATTTGAAATATAATTATCTAGTGATAAAATATTATGTTTAAATGCACGCTTCGTTTTTTGTCTTCAAAAAGATATTGACAAAAGCATAAACCCTGTATTTTGTATGTATTTTGTATTATCTATTTATTGAAAATTTTATATGTATCTAAGCATTTACACACAATCTCGTTTTTCACATGATTCTGAATATAATCGAAAATTTTATGCGTGCATATATATTAGTTAATGCTAACTTATTATATATTTTTATTGCAGAAACGAATACAGGATATTTGAAGCAAGATATGTAATATATTATTGTTATTTAATGCAGTATCACAGTCTTTAAACATCATGCGCATTTAGCGTTAGAATTTATTATCTCTTATAATACAATGTATAATACAAATCAATACCGGTTTTTCATATTATTGGATAAAATATATCGATATGAAAGGCACTTTCAATACATTGTCTTTTACAAAAAAAATATGAAATGTGAATTACATTACATATAAATAAACCGTAGTTTAGTTTAAAACTACAGTTTATTTATTATAATTAGTAGTTTATAGTTCGAACCTCTAATATTTGCGAATACTTTTATAGATTTACCATATATACAGTAATATTATGTACTGTATTAAAGCTTTCCTTTGCAAATATAAAAAGTATAAATTAGTAACATTTAAATATTGTGCATAGAAGAATGAATATGTATTTCGACTTTAGAATAGACTTACTTTACATATAAATTGTACTGTAATAAAACTAGTTAACATCCTAATCGACAGTATGAATTTTACAATATACAATTTATATGTTAACTAGTTAGTTTGTTAACATGCCAAGTTTATGGTTCACACAACTATTGTGGAACTTTATTTAAACATCTTAACTATCACCCAATTTTCGATAGTTTTCCTCCTTTTTTGAAAACTTTGTATTTACAAAATTTACAGGTGCGTACTTTTCAAACCGTGAGCCTAGCTCTGGCCCAACTGGCACTTTCAGAGCGAAGCCGGTATCTGTCACGGGTGATAGGGCTATTCTTGGTCCTCTTTACGTTTCACTTCACTGAGATGTAAAAGATCATTAATAGTTACTCCCGCCAGATATTTTCCCCTTTCAATATCTCATTTATTTTTATAAAAATTCTTGTTTCCTCTTTCAAGTATCGTACATAGAAATATCTTTTCTAACGGCCTTTTTGCCACAAATTAGATGCCCAGAAGAACCAAAAATACATCTGTCTCTTCCAAAACAAAGTCTCTTGAAAATAAAATAGCCAATTTAGAAGCCGAACAACTTCAACTGGTTGATGTCTTACGAAGTAATTATATAATTTCAACTAAACTTTCTCGAATGACGGCTGAGAGAAATACCTTTAGAGTGAAAGTGGCAAACTTAGAAGACGAAGTAATAGAATTACGAAGATGGAAAAGAGAAAAAGAAAGGTGGTTCTGGTTCTTCCTTAAAATATTCAGTTTACTTTTTTTAATTAAAATTCTTTCATTTTATGTAAATAATGTTTATGGTTATTTCCAGAAATATTTTTTTTGAAATTTTTATATTCAAAGGTGTATATATATTTTTGTTTATAAATAAAAAACTATAGATATGGGCTTTCACAGTGGAAAAATAATCATTGAATCTGTCAGTACTAATCAAACTTTAACCACGCTTATATGAAAAATGTGTCTGGCAAAATTGAATATCTCTAACTATCATATATCATTGAAATTATCAAAATTCTGATCATACTTTTTAGGGTCCAAATTTTTACTTTCTCTCGAGCACTTATATCAAACTGAATCGTGGTAACTCGTGATCTAGTGGTTCTATCACATGATTTTTATTCCTTTGATTCGTCTTGATGCAGTATGAATCGAAGGTACAACGCTTCAGATGCTTATAGGTACAACAATGACCAGAATTAGCATTAGCTTTAAGGTTATAGGGCTTATGTGCACAACAACGGCTGGGTTTATCATGTTAGCAGCTGTTAGGAGAGCATTGAGTTTGATTTGGACCATGTTACATGTCTATTTTTGGCTTTTGAGTAGGCTTGCTTATAATGAATTTTAGGGTTAGATGTGATTTCTATCTTTGACTTGGTAATTTCTTAGGACTTGTTTCTAAATTGGTAATCTTTTCTTGTTGAGTTTCACACTCCATGATTTTATTTTTCAAAAGAATCCGCATAGCTTTTAATTGAATATCTTTCTTTTTATTCTCTGCCTTCACTCGCAATTCTGAATTCTGAAGGTATTCAAAATACTTCTTAAAATACATATTATTTTCATTAACACGGTTCTGATAATTTGATCGTAATCGAGCCTTTTCATCTTGAAGTTTTTTCTTGTAAAAATATACCGAATTAATAATTTGTTTGTTTAGACAGCGATTTCTATTTTTTTCTTCTTCCAGAATTTTCTTGAGTTGTATATTTTCTTGAACGTTTTGGTGCAATTGTTCCTCAAGAAGTGCGTTTTCTTGTTCCGTTTTAGCAATTTGTTGGAGGTAATTGTTGATACATTTCTTCAATTCTGACACCTCTTGTTTCTTAACAATTGAAGTATTACATACATAAAAATATAAATCAATAAATAAATATAAATACAAAATAAGCGAATTGATTGTAAGAATACAAAATAAAGTGAATAGATCCATTTTGAAAATGCATAAGTAAAAGACAAGCGAAATATTTGTAAAGGTGCAAAATAAAGTAAAGGAATCCATCTTGCAAATTTAATTTCTAAGCTTGTTTCATCGAAACTTAAATACTTTCATAGTGAATTCGAATCTGCACAAACTTTTCTTGTTGCATAATATAAAAACTCGTTTGATTGAAAAAAAGTCTTTACATTTTATCAAGACCTGATTATTCGCAAATGTGCATTATCACGCAGCATTTTGAGGCTTAGTACGCGTACTAGAACGCACTCGGTTCTATTATCTTACCCAATCCTAATTAAACAATTAAACGATTTTATAAATTTAATTCAGATTATACAATAAAGTTCAGAACCGAATTTATTTTTTACATAATAAATTCGGCACCAATTTCTTCAGATTTCATGTGTGTTATATTACCACGTGACTTGGTATTATATTACGATTTTATCAATGTTAATCTAAATGAACAAATTGTAACTGTAACACTTAATATACCGTATAAATTATTTGTTGGTTATAGTATGAAAACCGGTTTTTATAATAAAAGATGTTAATATATGCGGTATATCGAACTTTTCGTTTTCAGGTTCGCTATAAAAAGGCTTATTAAATCCAGAGCTGACCATTATATGCGTACTTTGTCGTTATAACTGTCTTGAATTTTGAAAATCTATTCTAAAAAAATGGCATCAAAAAGAAAACACGAGATGATTGATGTAGAAATACCCAAACTACCTACACATGATTCAAAACGCACAAAATTGTTTGTTATTGGTAGCAATGATTGTGGCGAACTCGGCTTAGGGGAAAGTTTTGAAGAAGTAAAATATCCTAGATATGTTGAAAGTTTGGTAGATTTTCCTATTGTGAAAATTAGTTGTGGAAGTTTACACGTAGCAGCTCTAACTCGATATGGAAAGGTAAAAAATTAACATATATTTGACAACAAAAAGGTTCAATTTATTAAATTATTAATATTACTTTTAGGTTGTTACTTGGGGTTGCAATGATGAAGGTAGGATGTATTCATAAGTTATTAATTTAAGTTTTTTTTTACTATATAATCTGATTTTTAATATCTTTAAAAATGCATTGGGCAGAGTTACTAAAAGTGAAGAAAATCCAAATGAAACTGATGAAAATGTACCAGCATATGCTCAAGGTCTTGATAATATAATTATAGTTAAGGTCGCTTGTGGTTCAAATATAACGTTGGCTTTATCTGATAAAGGCCAATTATATGCTACCGGGACATTTAGAGTATGTAAATATCTTTTAAAATTACATAAGATTTATATTTTCATCATAATAATTTACATTTTATTTTAAGGATAATAATGGGAAAACTGGGTTTACTTCAGCAATTAATAAGCGATCAATGTTCGTAAAATACAGCTCTACTTCTCACTTAAAAATCGCTGATATCGCCGTCGGAGAGAATCACGTATTAGTTTTAACGACTAGTGGTTATGTATACACTTTTGGGTGCATGGATTCTTATCAGCTTGGAAGAAGAATATCGGTTCGTAAGCCTAACGGTTTAATGTTAATTCCTGAAAAAATATCAATCAACCGAATTAGAAAGATTTTTGTCGGAGGAAATCAAAGTTTTGCAATCGATGAAGATGGAATGATATATACATGGGGTCAAAATGCGGAAGGCCAGTGTGGTAGTGAATTGCCAAATCCTATTATAACTCCAATGAAGTTAGAATTCTTCGAAAACTTATTCAAAGTAAAACAAATTTCTACAGGACTTCACCATACGTTGGTCCTTCTAGAAAATGGTGATGTTTATAGTTTTGGCAACACTAGATATGGACAATAGGATAGGAAGTTTCCAAGTATTATAGGATTGTTTATAATGGGTAGATTGTGTGATTGTAGAAATTTGTTGTAGCATGTGTTTGTTTCTGCAGAAGGTGAAGTGTTGGAAGCAGAAACTTGAGAGGTTGGATTGTCTTCTACAGAGTCGTTCACCATTTGAAGCTCAGCTCGTACAGCTGTGGAGGGTGCCATAGCCTGCTCTGTATGTTGGGTCTGGCCGTCATTAACTTGGTCCTTCACGTAAATAGGCTTTACCGCCTGCCCACTTACATCATTTTCCTTACCAACTACTAAGAGTGTATCTCTTGGCAAGGTGGCAGCTGCATCTATGAGAATGGATACATCTGTATAAAACATGTACCTAACATAAGTATTAATAAAAAGCTAGTACCAAAAAGGTTACCTTAATACCGAAAAAAAAAAAAATCTTATCTTTTAAATAAAAGTAGGTCAAACCAATTTTGTTTTTAATTTTAATTTTGGTTTTATCTTTTTTAAATAACTTTGTTTTTATATATAGTTGCTGTTATATACTTCAACTGTAAAATTATTTCTTTTAATTATAATTTGTAAAGTTTATATATTTTAAAAATATTTTTTTAGATATTTTTAGCTTTTTTGTAATTTAAGCATTTTAGATAAAATTTTTAATTTTTAAAAGACTATTAGACTTAGAAATTATTAGATCTAAATAGTAATAGGCTTGAATCTTTTTGTTTAAATTATATTAAGTATATTTAGTAATAAATAAAAATTTTAAAGTTTGATTAATTTGTTTTTTTATATTTCTTTAAAAAAAAAATTAGTTATATTTTGTGTTATAAATACAGATGTTTATTTTAAATTATTTGCTATTTGAACTAAATAATTAGTATTATTACTTTCTAACTTTATTATAGCTTTATTAAGTAGAGTTTTAGTCAAAAAAGGTTGTATTTTATTTAATTTAAGAATTTATTAATATTAAATTCTACTGAAGCTTCTATTATAAAAGTTTAAGTTAATAACTTTTTTTAGTTTTTTATTATTTTAAAAAAAAATATTTTTAAATAATATATTTAAATAATTTTAAAATTCTGAATTTTTTTTCAGATTTAGAAAAAATTGTTTAAAGTAATTACTGTTTTTAGTTATAGTTTTAAGAATTTTATTTTTAAAAACATTTGTATAATTTAAGAGTATTTATATAAATTTTTAAGTATTACAATCTTCAAATTATTGTAATATAGAAAAATTTGTATAATATTATTGTTTTTTTTTAGTTTTAGAAATTTTTTTTTTTTTTTTTTTAACTTTAGCAGTCATGCTAGTACTTTATTAGGATTCTTGAAACTATACAAATTACATAGAATTTTCCTGATATTTAAGTCTAGCATTACCCGGCCACCCAAATGGTACCTAAGTACGACCTGCTGCACTATCCCAGTTAGAGATAGACTGCTCGTCTGACTGCC